CGCTGTGAGAAATTTGAGATCGGTTGTCCGATTTACCCCTGAAGATATTGAAAACTATTTGTCTGATTTGTTTTCAGAGAAGGGTAGTTCGGACAGTTCCTCTGTCTCTTCTCCTTCGTCTTGTCGGTCAAGGCAATCTACACCCTAAAGTAAATAATTAAAAGAGTTTTATAAATTAATCTTTTTTGCTTTTTGTCTTAAATGTAAAAGGCAAATACTATAATTAGTAATTTATAAATCTTTTCATAACGAACTATTATTATGGACAACAACATAAAGTGGAGACATTGTATTTTTTTCCTGCTGTGGTATTGTATCATAACATGTATATATTGAACAACAACATTTCATATCACTTTCGACAAAAAAAGAAAAAAAAGATTCAGCTTTACCAAAGAAACGTTATTATCTTAGAAAGCAAAATGTTTGTTATAAATGAATTGAAGACATCTCATATTTCTCATTTAAAAAAAAAAAAAAATGGTGTGTAGAATCTCTGATCCATCCACTATGACAAGTGTAAGGCAAGGATGAGTCAAAGGCCAACGCCACATTTTTCCTGATATTTCGTTGTCGTTATTTGTAACCACAACGATAAACGACCTAAATAATTCGTTATGGTTATGTAACAGATAAAAAAAAAAAAAATCTAGAATTTTTATCTCTTCTAACGACGCCTCTCTGAATCTAGATTCAGTGGTAGGTTCTTCGAAAAGGAACCCATTTTCACCACTTGGTTCTTGAATCTACACGTAAAGGCGAGGCGTTTCGATTGTTTAATGTAAAAGCCATTTTTTTATCCTTCAAAATTCCTGCCAAGACAACATTTTCAAAACAAGAGAGATATAAGATCAAGATTTCAAGATGAGGAGCAAGAGCGGTTTTAGTTTCTTCTCTAAGATGACTTCTTCTAGGAAGAAACCTTCTCTTTCAATACCTAGCAAGGGTTTAGAGTCGTCGAAGATCGACCGAACGATCGATCACACCGCGGAGATCATTGAGAAATGGAATACAGAGTATGTTTCTACGACGAAGTTTTATTCTCTGTTTTGCGAGAGCAAGCGTGAAGCGAAAGAGTTCGTGAAACAGGTTAAGGATCTTCAGAATGCGATGGATTTGTTGATTAGAGAAGATCCTAATTCGGAGAATCTCCTTAGAGCTCAGAAACTGATGCAAATCGCTATGAAACGACTTCAGAATGAGTTTCACCAGATTCTGACTATGAATAGTGCGCATTTGGATCCCGAGTCTGCCTCGAGTAGATCTCCTACCTCTGTTGTATCAAACGAAGACGATGTTTGGCATGAGTCTCGCTTGGCTGGAGATTCTATTAACGAAGTTGAAGAAGTGTCGAGGAACTCAATGACGGAGCTTAAATCGATCGCAGAGTGTATGATCGCAGCCGGTTACGCGAAAGAGTGTGCGAGTACCTATAAATCCATAAGAAAATCGATAGTCGACGAAGGGATTTACCGTCTTGGAGTCGAGAAAATCAGTTCGTCCAAGGCTAAAAAGATGCCAAGCGAGGTTGTTGAGTTGAAGATGAAGAGCTGGGTCGAAGCGGTTAAGGTCTCGATGAAGATTCTCTTCGATGGCGAAAAGACTCTATGCGAAGAAGTTTTTGAATCCTCTGTTTCTCTAAGAGAGTCTTGTTTCCGAGATATCTCCAAGGAAGGAGCTCTTCTTTTGTTCGGATTCCCGGAAACCGTTGCCGTGAGAGTCAAGAAAAATCCACACCCGAGGAAGATATTCCCGTTGTTGGATATGTATTGCTCCATCAACGAGAATTTACCGGCGATCGAATCAATCTTCTCGTTCTCATCACTATCCGCTGTTCAAACTCAAGCTCTCACTTCGCTTAGCCGACTTAGCGAGTCGATTCTTTCGCATTTGGTGGAATTTGAATCGGAAATCCGGAAAGACTCGTCTAAGATGGTGGTTCCTGGTGGAGGAGTGCATCCGATGACTATCTCCGCCATGGATCACCTCTCTAGCCTCGCGGAATACAGTAACGCACTCATGGATATCCTCAACGGATCATCATCTTCCTCTTCCGCTAAATCGTTGCTTCCGAAATCTTATTTCAACGTCTCGGGATCCGAGGGATCTCCAACTTCGGAGGTAAGAGCGCGATTCGCGTGGATGATTCTCGTCCTACTATGCAAAATCGACGCCAAAGCTGAGATGTACAAGGAATTCTCGATGCAGTATCTCTTCTTAGCCAACAACCTCCAACACGTAGCGTCTCGCGCACGCTCCACGAACTTGAAGCAACTCCTCGGCGACGATTGGATCGCTCGGCATTTCGAGAAAGTCAGGCAGTTCGCTAGAAGCTACGAGCGGCTCGCGTGGGGTCCACTTGCGTCAATGTGTCCGGCGATTAGTACATCGGAGGCTGTGGAAATGTCGCCCGAAGAGACGAAGATGCAATTCGAAATGTTCGACGAGAGATTCGTGAACACGTTTGTGTCGCAGAGCGCGTGCGTCATACCGGATCCGAAATTACTCGACGAGATAAGAATTTCGATCGGGAGAATGTTGTTGCCGGTTTATCGTGATTTTTACAACGCACATAGAAATGCTGTTATGTTGGCGGGAACGGAAGGTGGGTGGAATGTCAGATTTACCCCTGAAGATATTGGAAACCATTTGTCGGAGTTGTTTAACGGCAAGGGTGTTTCGGAGAATCCATATGTGTGTTCGACATCTTTCTGTCTTCTTAAAGCTCCTCCCACCATTCTTGGACCAAAGCCACGATCTTTGTCATGCAGAAGATTTTGAAGGGGAAATTAAATGTTTTCTATAGGT